TTTAGCAGGGGAGCAGAAAGCAACCAAGTGGTATTCCTCTTATGCTCTAAAGGTATTGTTTCGGGATTCACCCATTCAACCACTCAGCCACTGAACCACCAAGAAAAAAACCCTGAAGAGAGAAGGTAGTCATGGGAATCTTGGAATGTTCCTTGAAAGATATGTTTAGGTGAATTCTAATCTGTGATGCATTGGCTATTCTTCTGAGCCAATCTATTCAGAATCTTTCTTTTCAGCGTTTTTTTTTTCTTTTTCGTCCCTTTAAAACCTCACTTCCTCAGTTCCTGGACTAAACGTTTTGGGCAGACCATTTAAGTGTAATGTGATTGTTTGGACTTTTTTTGGCCCATCAACCGAGCTATAATCAAAACCTGGGCAGATGAAGCCTAGTAAGGGACGATTCCAACTATGAATAGCTGCGGACGCCTTCTTAATTCTTTACATGGTTCTGGGTAGACCATTTTTTGATACCGGGTTTTGATTGTAACTCAACTCAGGAGGTGAGAAACCGAGTAAGTGGCTTCGAATCAACCGCTCGGCATGACGCGATTCGCTCGGTTCGGATCGAATCTGATCGCGAAGGACCACTGCCCGCGACTGGGGCGACGCATGGAGGGGCGCCGGATGAAGGGGCGCAAGTGAAGGCGCGGACTTCATCCCCAGATACCCTCCTTCACTGTCCGTCGTTGGCAAGTTGTTCGGTTTGTAGGTGTTTGGGTTCTGTTCAGTTTTAGTAGGGGGCTGCAAAAAGAAAAGTGACTTACTACCATACCCAGAGTTGTAAAAAAGAAAGAAGCAAACCTCCCCCCAAGAATCATGGACGCTAGCACTGGTTTTGGAAGACTACTTTTTCGAGATACCCCAAAACGACCTTTGTTGGTGGGAGGGTAAGCCCCAGTGGTTCCCAAGTCTCATATGAAAGAGGATAATATCTGGTTGCTTATTTGGAAGAGGATCATTCTTCTGTTGAAAGCATGGTTGTTGTTGGGAAACATTTTACATTTTTGCTTATTGTGGTTTAGTGTTTGAAATCCAACCACTTAACTGCTAAAAAATGAGAATTGTTGCTCTTCCAACGCCAACCAAGAAAAAGGATTCTTCTCATTTTCGTTTTTGCGCCAGTTGCTCTTCCGGCGTTGAACGGTTCCCTCGGTTCCTCGCAAAATGTCGGATGTGTTTCCTGGGCCACGAGGGTCTGAAGCTGCAAAACGGGGTGAAAACCATTGCTCGGATCTGCTCAAGGTCCCTTTTTACCAAATCTTTTTGGGGGGAGGGTTCGGGACCCTAAAATAGACAGAAAAAAGTTGGTACCAACTTATTCTAACCTCTCTACTGGACCTAGGCTCATATTCCTCAACCAGCCTCCCTATCCCCATCTGGTGAATTCTTCATCCGCCCGGGACATGTCCAACGGGGGAACCTTCCTGAATTCCAGTCACTTTGTCCAGCTTTTGGGTCCCAACTGCTTTCTTCACCGTGTCCCAAATTCCCTTTGTTTTGTCTAAAGAGCAGTTCTTAGGGGGTGCTGGTTAGGGTTTCATCACTAAAAGTGCCAGCAAAGAGTTGACCAACTGTTGGCCAACGTTGATCCGAAGTGAGTTAGGTCCTTGTAACACCGATATTTTAGGGTAAGGGTTTTATAGGTGGTGAGCCCCTCCCTCATAGTTCCCCTTAGGCATGTTTCCCTTTTTGACTCACACCAACATCACCTGTTGGTTGTCAAACTAAGGTGAGTTGTGTTTTAGGGTGTCAGGGAAGATAGTTTGCCCAACTTGACGCCTGTCAAAGGGGTACTTCGCAGCTTCCAGACGTAGAACCCTGTGTCCATAGGCAATCTTAGTTTAGAATTGGGTTTGAAGTAGATGGCTTTCACTTGTTTAGATTGGTTTTATTGCAGGGCGTCTGACAGTCCCCTCAAGTTTTGCGAGCTGTTCGCCTGTGACATCCTGTGACCCTTGACTCCGCTTCCCGTCCACTTGGCCAAGGTTGCCTACTCCAGATGCAGCGGAGGTGGTGATCGCTTGCCGAGTGATCCACGCATGCGTCGGGGTAGATCCCGCGCATCCGTCGGGTCTGATCCTTTAAAAGGCTCTACAAGTCGGGACTGCCAGCGATTTCTGCCCGGATAGGCATACTTGGCTTCAACCCAATACACAATGGTGGATGTCTTGGATTCAAATCCCAGCCAACCAACTCAGCGGTGCCCAGCTTTTAGCAAACACCCCGCCGCCTCTAAGCAGGCTGAGAACTTGTACAGTGTACAGTGCGCAGCTCGCATTAGCTCGTTGAGGAACAAACCGGCCCTATCAGCAAATGCAGTTGTCAATGTTGACCAAAAACGACCAATCGGCGTGTTTTGTTTGGTTCTCTTTTTGGGAGGGTAAAAGGGAAACCACCGATTTCGGAGGTCTTTCAGTTGAAAACACCCAAATGAGGGGACCCCCTCAAAGAATCAAGATCGATTTGGAGTCGTTCTTGTGGGTACCCAAAACGCACCGATTCGGGGCCCCTGGCATCCCCAGCATGCCAGCGCTTCTCACTGTCAGAATTTGAGTCGGTGATTTGTGGTATCCCTAGATTTCTCTAGATTTGTGGGTGCATCACCTTTTGGCCTGATAGGTGAGTTTCCTTTGGGGGCGATGTTTAAAGGAGAAATATAGGGAACCCTGTTTAAAGTTGATATGTTATGTTAACCCTATCGAGAGTGTCATCGGGTGAAACAAGCAACTGATATAGGATATTGCATTTGATACGAGCATACATTACTCCTTCGCCCGCTTTACACCAAGTCGGGTGGTCAAAGCAGATCAGGTTGTCTCTGTTGGTTGCATGTGTGCCTGTGTTGCACCTCATTTGTGCAACGTCCAAAACCTCCGTCTACATGTTTATCAGGGACTACGTCATATCGACCCGTGGCGTAAGCAAAACCTGCACGGGCGTAAGGCGGCGTAAGCAACTGTCGAAAAACATGTCGCGCAAGCATTCCGCGTAAGCTATTGTTCAGTCAGGTTGTTTGGAGTATCCTATGTGTGTCTTCAGTCATGTTGTTTGTCATATCCATGTGTTTCTCATTAGTCACGTGCTTGTTATATCTACCCATTGGGCCTTATAAAGCAATATTGTCCTTTGCTACTACACAAGGCAAAACTAGGGAATTTTTGGGCGTTTTCCGCGTAAGGCTTGCGTAAGCTTCGCGTAAGCCCCCGCGTAAGCCCCAGCTGCGTTTCTGAGTAGTAGCCTTGCCGGCCTTGCAAAGCCCTTCCTAGACCTGCCATTGTCCAGCTTTGCGGAGCTCATTGTCCAGCTCTGCCGCACGGCGCTGCCTTGCTCCACAAGGCAGCGCCATCGCGAGAAAGCAGGACCTCGCCAAACGAGAAGGATACTTGCAATTGGAGACGACGCTTCTACGATAAGCTCCGCTCTTGGGAGCTGGAAGGGCCCAAAGCCGGAGACGACAATGCGTTGACTCGCAAGTTCGCTGCAATAAAGCTGTTCTTCCTCCTCTTCATCTTCCTCCACGGCTCGTCATCTGCGTGAAAGGAAAAAGTGCTCGCGTAAGCCGCTTCCACGGAATTGCATCCGGTCTCTCTGGCGTAAGGGCTGCGTAAGGCCTACTTGAAGCCCATGTGCCGCGTAAGCGAAAGCACGGTGCGCGTAAGGCTGCGTAAGGAAGCGGCGTAAGGAGAGGGATGCGACATAGGGAATCACGACACGTTTTGGACATGGCTCATTTGTTCTGTGAGCAACCTATTGTACCGAACCCATTTGTTAGAACCCATTCAACGGTGGTCACCCAAAGAACCCTGTTGAAGGGCACGCTGCAAGTTGAACGGTCCAAACGCAGCAAAAGTACCTGCCGTTTCGCGGCTAACCTAAATTTGCTTCTAGGAACAGGTAATCAAGGTAATGTTCACAGGTTGGGATTGGCAGTACATTCTGCTGTTTCAAGAATTCTCTGCAAAAAAAGGTGTCACGCACTACTATTTTACTACTATTCTACTAGACTCCATGTACAATACTTGCCCACATTTACCCTTCATGGATGGGGTATCATACTGTGGTATTCACGGACTATGATTTTGCACGTTAAGTAGAAACACAATGGTTTTATTAGTCCTGGTCATCGCCGCTACTTTCCGCACTTGCCCAAAGCCTACCTTTCAACCACGTGATTTCTTGTTTTGGTCCATATTTCGCCAAGGTCAGGTGATGGATCACCGAGCGTATGTTCATGTCCTTTGGCCTTCTAGAGTTTGGAGATCAACTTTTAGCCGGGTCAAGTGATCAATGGAAACCCGGATGAACCAACCCCAGGGAATCATCATAGGGGCAAGCCTCCACTCCCCTATGAATAGGGTTTGATTCATCTAGGGTTTTTATACGCACTTCCTGAGTTCCTGGACTTTAAGCTTCTTGGGCAGGCCATTTTAGTGGTGAGCAGCAGTTTCGGACTTTTTCTGACCAATCCACTGTGGAAGTGAGAGGTTATCACCATATGGTTGCAACTGGCGGCACTGAGCTTCATCCCCTTACCATGGCTATAGCCTTACCTGAGGCTGGTTGAGCGTGTACCACTAAATGGTTTGATTCGTCCATTCGGGTCTGTCGTTTTTTGAGCCTCGGTGCCCCTTTTTGGTGGGTTTTAAAACGCAAAAAAAAAACACCGGAAACAAATGGGGGCTCCCTAAAAGACACACCCATTCCTTCCCTACGAAAATAGACTACAGAAAACAGGGGTACTCTTATTTTAACCTCTCGACTGGAGGACCTAGTAGCCTTACCTGACGTTGGTTAAGCGTTTGCCACTAAAATGGTGAGATTCGTCCATTCGCGTCTGTCTTTTTTCGAGCCACGGTGCCCCTTTTTGGTGGGTTTCAGAAGCAAAAGCAGAAAAACAAAAAACATGGGCCCCCTAAAAACACCTACCTCTAAACATAATCCTGAAAAGTCTCTTACCTGAGAGTCGACCTAAAAAAAGACGAGCCACGCCCATTCCGCAGGACTACCTCGCCGCGGTGGACGGCATCATTTTCGTGGTGGACGCGGCGGATCGCACCCGTTTCGCCGAGGCGAGCGGGGGAATTCAGGAGAGAGAGGGAATTCAGGCGCTCGTTGAGTGGCCGCCGCGTGCACGCGATGGTGATTGTGTGTTTGATTGAATTGATTCTTTCATTATTTCTTTCATTCATTCATTCTTTCTTTCTTTCTGTCTTTCTTGATTTTGTTTGTTTGGTTATTTATTTGTTTGTTGTTTGTTTGTTTGATTTGTTGTCATTCTTTATTTATTTATCGCTTTCATTGTTTCGTTATTATGCTATGTCTTTCTGTCTTTCTTTATTTATTTCTTTTGTTCGTTTCTTTCCCTATTTATTTATTTATTTATTTATTTATTTATTTAGTTCTTCTTTATCTGTTCTTTCTTTCTTTGTTGATTTGTTTGTTTGTTAGTTTCTTTGTTTCTTTGTTTCTTTATTTGTTGTTTGTTTGTCTGTTTTCGTTATTTCGTTTCTTCGTTCTTTCTTGATTTCTTTATTTCTGTCTTTCTTTCTTTGTTGACTTGTTTGTTTGCTTGTTTCGGTGTTTCTTTGTTTATTTGTTTGTTGTGTGTTGGTTTGCTTTATTTTGTTATTTCTTTATTCATTGTTTTTTGTATTTATTGTTGTCATTTCTTGTTTTCTTCTTTTTTTCTTTGTTTTTGATATCTTTCTTCGTTGATGTTTTTTGTGTCTTTGTTTCTTTGCTTCTTTGTTTGTGTGTTTGTTTGATTTGTCCCTTTGTTTGCTTGTTTGATTTTTATTTGTTTGTTCGTTCGTTTGTTTGTTAGATTGTTAGTTTGTTTGTTTGCTGGTGTGTTTGTTTGGTTGGTTGGTTTGGTTTTCCTTGGTTTAGTTTGTGTGTGTTTGTCAGTGTCATGTTCAACCAGGTTTTTTTCCCTACCCAACAGCTTCTTTTGGTTTCCCTTGGTGCCCTGTGTTGCGGGTTCTCCCTTGGCCAGTTCCCCCAGTCTTTTACCCCTTTTTTTGGGCGAGGGTTTCCCTACAGACCCAGGATCGTGCCCTTTCTCTCCCCTTTTTTGGTTGCGAGGGTTTCCCGAAATAGACAGACAAAAAGTGGCACCCTTCTAGCCTCTCTACTGCAGGACCTAGGAAAAAATCATTTGTCACATTTGTTTACTGGTCCAATTGAATAAGCCCTGTCCAAAGATATCGAAACCACCCCTTTTCACCGTCGAATCAGGGCGAATCGCGGCTTCCCATCGAATCGAATCGCCATCGAATCGAGGCATCCGAGGAGCTTGGCCGGCTCCTGGAGGACCCCGCCCTGGCTCAGGTGCCACTGGCAGTCCTAGGCCCGGAATCCGAGCCACAAACTCCACCCCCATCGGGACACGGAAGGACCCGACCGCCAAAGGGAGTGGGACTGTAGGCACTGGTAAGTAGGACCTTAGAGAAACCCACAAAACCAGGGGGCAACCTATAAATCCAGTCTATCAACATCATTCCAGGGGTATACTTCCCAGTCTATCAACATCATTCAACAGAGATTCACCCAAGCCGTGATGCGTGAACCCATGAAAACAAGGGGATCATATTTATTATATGTTTGCGTGTGGACGATTCCCTGACTTTTAGGGGGCGTTTCAAAGGGAAACCAAATGGACACCGGGGCCATGCTAGTGGATCGCTTAAATTTTTGGCCCACCAACATGGCACCAGGGATCCCTCCAAGAGGAAACGGATCTTCCAGGTGCAAAGACTTTTTCACAGGTGCCATGCTGAGAGGAAGGCTAGTTGTCTTTCAAAGCCCTCTCTGCTATGTTGGAATGCTGTAGAGTTTCGAGGTGTGAAGGGCCGCTTTCTGCGAAGATAAACCAAATAGAATTGGGGTAGACTAAATATGGGTGAGCCCTCTTTGCAGGAGCCCTTCTGGTGGTTTTAACGGACAACTAAAAGGAACACTACCAATCTGTGCGGTCTGAAAGAGACACCCATATTAGCTTTATGTTTTTTTGTGGTTGGATCTTTGGAGTTTAACTTTTTGGGGAACAGCTCGAATTTTCCGAATTGGATCCAGAATCAGTGGTCCACTTTTTGGAGAGGTTGGCGCATTTTGCTTGTGGGTGTTCCATTAAACCACTATAGTTAAACTTTTAGCAGGGAGCAGAAAGTCACGATCTGCCGCGCGCGAGTCGGCGAGTCGCAAGGCAACAAGATCGACATCCCGGTGGCCGCGTCCGAGGATGAGTTGCGGCATTCCCTAGGGCTCTATACCCACATGACCTCTGGCACCTTGGACCGAGAGAACTACACCCTGGGTTGATTAGTTAGTCAATTAGTTGGTGAGTTGGTTGGTTAGTTAGTGCATGTGTTGGTGAGTTGGTTGGTTAGTTAGTGAATGAGTTGGTGAATTGGTTGGTTAGTTAGTCAATTAGTTGGTGAGTTGGTTGATGAGTTAGTCAATTAGTTGGAGAGTTGGTGAGTTGGTTGGTTAGTTAGTGAATGAGTTGGTGAGTTGGTTGGTTAGTTAGTGAATGAGTTGGTGAACTGGTTGGTTAGTTAGTCAATTAGTTGGTGAATTGGTGAGCTGGTTGGTTAGTTAGATGGTTAGTCAGTTTTTTGTTGGTTGTTTGTTTCATAGCCCTGATTTTGGGATGAGCTTTGCCAGCACAAATCAACCATCTAAATATCGGGGTCTCCCAAACTTGCTTGATAGCATGATCAACACATGGATTTGTCTTGGTTTGTGGCTCGGTACGGCTGTTGGGGTCAAACCTCACTTTGGCACAACCCACATCCTGTTCAGTCTCATATTTTGGGATAGACCAAGTATGAGGCGCAATCTGCATATCTGAGATTTCTGTATAACAGTGTAGCCCAAGAAGTGCGCCAAGCTGGATTTGCGGGTTCTTGTTTTGACTATCGCGACCGTCCAATTTGGACCGCTTTCAACTGGGCAAAGTCTTTTTGACTGTTGGGGGTCAACATCAGAAGCCACCGCACCCCTGAAACCACCGCACCTGATGGGACTTTTGGGGGAAGTCGGGGGTCCTTCCCTGAGAACTCCTAAGGGGTTGCTTAAAAGGTAAGCCCCGGGGTTCAATCCACCATCAAACCAATGTGGCTTAATATATCCACCATGGTTTTCCGGAGTTTCATTCTCCAAATTGGGTCCTTGCCATTCTTTTCATGGGGGTTGAACCGTTGAAATCCAGGGTACAGGTGGCCAGTTCTCCACAAATACCTTCCATTTCCATGATTTTGGATCCGAAGCTTTTCAGGAAACCATGAAACACCCAGGGAAACAGATCCGGTTTTTGAAAAGAAGGATGGTTGAAAAGAATGGACCAGGAATCAACCAATGGTGTTCCTTTTGGTTTCCCTTCAAAACAACCAACAAAGGGGTCCCCTCAAAAAAAGATGAAGGCTCAACCCCTAGATGTTTCACTGCCCCAAGGTAGACCTCAACCCCTTGGGGGGGTTGGATGAAATCAACCCCTGGGTGTCTGCGCTTCCCTTAAAGTAGGACAGTGAATCCGCCCCTAGTTCCGCCTCCCGAAGGCAAGATGGCGCAGAAGGACTTACAGGCGCACTCCGACGGCGATCTGCAGTTTCCGCGTTGGAGGGGGGTGGAATCTTACGGGGAAGCTAAAAGAGAAACCGACAATTTTGGGGTTCCATATTTGAGACAAACACAAACACATGTAATTGGGCTGTGGAGTGATGACTTCGAAACCATTTTACATCACAATGATAAGACAATCATCAATCATCTAGATCCTCCAGTGCCCTTTCTCTCCCCTTTTTTGGTTGGGAGGGTTCCCCTACTACAATAGACCACAGAAAAAAGGGTACCCTTATTCTAACCTCTCTACTGGAGGACCAGGTGGGGGATGAGCCACTGGTTTTAATTAACTTCAGGGTGGAGCCAGATACTTACATCCAGTGACGATTACCAGGCCGGAAAATTAGAGTTGGGTGTGCATCTCCGCCCTTTTGATTTTTCATGAGAAAATGAGTCCACTTTGCCAGGGTCGGTCGCGGGTTGCAACGCGTCTCTTGCCAAGTGAGTGGTTACAAACCTAGGTTGTCTTTGGTGCAGCTTGCTTGGCTGTTAGGACTTTAACTTTTTGCCAACTAATGGGTTTTCCACTAAACCACTAAAAGTCAAACTTTTAGCAGGGGAGCAGAAAGCAACCGAGTTGTAACCTACTTGCAAGCCCCCAGAATTAGCAACGGTTGCAATCTTGGTCACCGCTTGCTAGCTTGGCCAAAGAACCAAGTAGTTGGGTCGCTTGGCTGTTTCGCAAGAAACTCCCTACTGGGCGTTGAGGGAAGCTGGATTAATGTAAAGCCACGTGGATAAGTTTGGTTTTTTCTCAGAACCCCTCTGCGTCTCACCCGGTTGCTTGTCGGATGTTCTCCGCACACCCCTCTCCGCACACCCCCGGCGCAGCACTTTGGTTCATCCAAGCGCTCTCGCGCTCTCTGCAGAACCCGTGGGCGCGCGCGCTTTGCGCGCAAGCTCGGGTCGTGGCGGTGCGACACACCAACTTGGGGGTTGAAGCGCCAAAGGAACCCCTTGGATCAAACTCAAACCATTAAGTCCATGGGGCTTAATATAGCCACCATGCACGTGGAGGTGTGCTTGCTGAACGGCACGAGCTGCTCTTTTGCGCTGTCGCCCGAGTCGCTGGTGAGCGAAGTGAAGTCTAAGGCGCACCCAGTTGCAGCGGTCCTTTCTGCTACTTTGCCGAGGGGAGCCGTTGCCCAGCTGCCCAGATGTCGCATCCTTTCTTCAACTTGAAGGTTTTTGTGTTTTTGTCCGTTAAATCCCAGAGGAGATAATTATGTTCTTTTGGGTGTTTTCAAAGGTACAAGCCAATCTTCGGATCTCAACTTCTTTTTTTGGGGGAAGGGATCCCCTTCAACCATCCGCAAAAGGATGCCCTTTTTCACATGGTCACTGGGCATCTGAGGTTGGATCCGTCGTCTACTTTGAGTGACTCGGAGCTTAGCCATCCTCAGCGGTTCCATAGTTCCATCTTTTGGGACCCCTTGGTGGGTGATTTTAAGCTTGGTGGCGCCCAGCATTTGCAGCATTTGCAGATTAATATACCCCTGTGTATTAATAAAGGGTCCCCTTCAAAGGAAACCACTATTTGGTGGCTCCTTAGCTCCTTAGCTTTTTAGCTTTTTAGTGCGGTTTTTTATTTGACCCACTGAAAGTTAAACTTTTAGCGGGGGATCTGAGGACAGCCCAGTAAAGAGAACCAAAAGGAAACCAACAATTGTGGGAGTCCCCCCAAAAAAGGCGTGCCCATTTCCCTGCATAGCAGCTGGCCAAGGCAACTGAACACCACAAGGAAGGGGTTGGTCAAATAGTGGTGGCTGGGACCCACTGTGATCAACTTTTAGACTTTTTGGGTTTAGAGGGTTATGACTTATAATGACTCACATCCCACAAAAAGCTGCGCTTGTAGCTCGGGAGAAAGAACACTAAGGTGAGGCTGGTGTGCGAGATGGGGATAGGATTGATGCGATCGTGCGACCTGTGAAGCTAGCTTCAACCGTGCAACAATTTGCCCTCTATGTCACCGGAGGCTCTGCCGTAACTTGGGGAGAGGGCCAACAAATGCCAGAGCTCGTGGGCGTCCAGCAGATCGAAGCGAATCTGACTTCTTTTGCTGCCATTTTGGACGACGGCACGGTGGTAACTTGGGGCAAGCCTGAATTTGGTGGCGACAGCAGCCAGGTTCAAGAGCAGTTGGTGGGTGTCAAACAGATCCGCGCTGCCAACATGTCGTTTGCCGCCATTTTGGACAACGGCTCTGTGGTGACTTGGGGCAATCCTGAATATGGGGGTGACAGCAGCCAAGTGCAAGAGCAGTTGGTGCGAGTCCAGCAAATCCAAGCAACGGCACTTGCGTTTGCTGCCATCCTGGACGACGGCTCTGTCGTAACTTGGGGTAGTTCTGGATTGGGCGGTGACAGCCGCCAAGTGCAAGAGCAGCTGGTGCGTGTTCAGAGGATTCAAGCAACTGACGTTGCCTTTGCTGCCATTTTGGACGACGGATCTGTCGTCACTTGGGGCAATCATGAATCGGGGGGTGACAGCAGCCAGGTTCAAGAGCAGCTGGTAAAGGTCCAGCAGATCCAAGCAGACGAGGGTGCTTTCGCTGCCATCCTGGACGACAGCTCTGTGGTGACTTGGGGCGATCCTGGATATGGGGGTGACAGCAGCCAAGTTCACGAGCAGCTGGCGCGGGTCCAGCAAATCCACGCAAGTAGGAGTGCGTTTGCTGCCATCCTGGACGACGGCTCTGTGGTGACTTGGGGCGATCCAAATAAT